CTGCGGTTGCAAAGGGGCCCCTTCAGAGTGCTGCAGCAGCAGCCAGAAGTTCGACTTTTATTTTTTTGAAAGGACTGGAGAAATTATTAACCACGGTTGATGACGTCAGAGTTGATCTGATTAAAGGTTTGTTTTCTTGCTGGCAGAGGTGTGCTCCGTAGAGACTGGTTCTCTCTTCTTTTTTTTTTAAGTTTCTTTTTTGAACAGCAAACGGAGGGAACTGCTCGCATTGCTGCTGCCGCTGCCACTGCCGCTGCCCCAGCCGCGTGTGTGTGTGTGTAAACAGGATGGTGTATCTGTAGCCGCCACGCGCAAACACACATTTGACCATGAGGACTCTTCGCAGGTTGAAGTTCATGAGTTCGCCCAGCCTCAGTGATCTGGGCAAGAGAGAGCAGGCAGCCTTGGATGAGCGGGGGACCCAGCAGCGACGGGCCTGCTCCAACGCTACCTGGAACAGGTAAGGTCTCGCACGATGTGCCGGCTCCCCCGCAGCCTCCCTGTGCTCCCGTGGCCGGGATTAACTTGCGAGTAGCCGCTCCATTGGCTTTTGGGGTGGGGTGCCCTGCTCCCAGCTCAGCAAGGTTGCAGTACGTCGGGCTTCTGCATTAGTGCGTTACACGTACCAGAGTCTGCGTTTGAGTAAAAGACGGGAGCGGCTTTTTTCACGTTGCTGTTAACCTTTCTCTGAAGGCTGATAGCAAAGAGCTTGTGCTGCAGGCAGCTCAGCCTGCTCTTCCTTGTGATGGACAAGGACTTACTTCGCAGGGTTCAGCTACAAATATGCCTTTGTGTCTATTTACAGGTTCTCATTTGAGGTTGATTTGGTTTATTTTAGTTTAAAGAATTTATGTCTACGCAACTATTAAGATACATTATTTTCGTAACTATATGTATTGCTGGTTGTTGATACAGATATGACAAAGTCTACTCAGTTTACTCAGATTAATACAGATATCTCTCTGCGTGTGTGTATGCGCGCACGCAAGCACACACACTTTGGACAGGGAAGAATAAACCTCAGTTGTTTTCTTTGTGTTTATGCATCTGAATTTTGTTACTGTTCGACAAAAAAAAATCCCTCATGGATACATTTTGTTGAGAATGTGTCATCTAGCAGAGATATCCAGAAAGCATCTTAATGATCGTTTTGTTAGCGCTTTTAAAGATGAGTCTAAGTCGTTAGGAATTATATTCTTATGTCCTTTTTGAAAATGAAATGTCATCTCCTGGGTCACAGCTTGGAAAGCATCATTTGTAATGTTTTATAATGGCATGGCAGGACAGCTGTGGGAAGAAAAATAGCTGTGAACTGTAGACACATTTATTAAAGGTATTTGAGTTCTGAGCAAAAGAAGTAATTATAAAATATCACATCTTCTGTCCCTCTCATCATTTGATTTGTGGTTTCATGCCTACATTATGAATTAGTTGTTTAATGCCAGCAGCATGCAAAGCACTGAAACTGAACCAGTCACAAATGAGACCGAGTTTCTGCTCAGATATTGTTATTTATATGACCTGATGTTGCCCTTGAGGTCTGGATGGTGGTGGTAATTACAGGTTAGATTGGGCCACCTTGGCTTGTGCCAGTTGGGGCATCATTGGCCAGTAGCCCCATGGGAAGCAGCAGGGAGCAAGATACTCCTTGGTGTGAACCAAGGCAATGGAATATGGTCCCCAAAGCCTTTTTTTGTGATGGTCTGCTGATAGCTTTTGTTTGCTGGGATTAGCATTTCCAGGTCTTGCTTGCAGAGAGGGAGCTGTGGAGGTGGATGTGAATGGAGAGCAGGTCAGGCACTGGACTTGCAGGGAAGGGGAGAGCTCCAGACTGAGGAGCAGCTGCTGATACTCAAACCAGAGGGTTTTCCTAAGTGAGCCAGAGAAATTGTTTGTTATTTTTATTTTGGACAGGAAAGCTCTGGCCAGAAGTGGTTCCCTAACAGCCAGGTAGACTTCCATGCATTTCATCCAAACAATCAGACAACCGTCCCATCGCCTGTTCCTGGAATAGGTGTCCACGAGTCACCTCTTGCCGCCTCGTGTGAACTCAGGCCTAACCATGTTTTCTTGCCATGGGCTGCCCTTTTCCTGTGCAGGGGTTGCTGGGCTGTCCCTGCCATTTGGTGGCATGTGCCTCTGAAACACCTTGGGAGCACTGGCAGAGCTGCTGTCATGTGGAGGCAGGCTGGGGCTACCTGCGGTGGCAAGGGCAAGCGGCCATCCTGTGTCTGCACTAACAGCTGCCTAAAGCTACTGCAAATACTGCAGATTACAAGCCAGCTGTGCTGCATGGGCAAAGGGAAGGCCCTTCATTTCTTATTTAATAGTACAAGGCTTTCTCCTGAGTGGAAGAGAGAGTGAGGGTAATTCTTCTTTCAGATGCAAAAGGACTTGTATCCTCTCTTGGTTTTAAGAAACTCAAATATTCTACAGGCTGTAAAACTGGAGCTTATCCTCAGGAAAGCCAGGGCTTAGATGTCGTTGGATTAGTTGCATTAAGAAGTTATCCACTGTTGCTTCTGCCTGTCACCAGTGCATGCTCATCTTGGCACGTGTAAGAGTCAGGTCCTGAGGGAGTTGGTGTTCAGCTCTCCTGGAGCAGCCATAACATCAGTGCCGCAAGCAGAGCCTCTAAATTTTGACTCACCACAAACCCCAGGTGGTTTTGAAAATCTTGGGCTGTGGAAGGTTTTTTATTTTTACCCTGCAAAATTAAAAGACCCCAACAGAGGACTCACGTGCCATACCTTGGTTTATGGGAATATTTGTTCTTCCAAATGAAAGGATTGCCTGTGCTGTTTCACTCTGCAATATCAAGTGTAAGAGCTTGCTGATCAAGGAAGTCGAGATGCACCAGCAGAGCTCTTCCCTCACCAAGCCTGGCTGTTCTATATTTAAATGCCTGCTGGTTTCTTGCCTAATGCTAGCAGCTGTGCCTGGGTGTGGCATGTGTGTATCTGTTTTTGAAAGAGGCTTTGAACCAAGTTCATCAAAACTGAAGTGGCGAGAGGTAAAGCACAACCCCAAGGCAGGCCCTGCCCCACACGAGACTGCCGGTCCCTTGGTGAGAGTCAACCCTTTGAGGTAGGACGAGGGTGGTGCCTCGGCCCTGCCAGAGATCATGCTGAAATGCTGCCAAGCCAAAGTTTTGCTGGTGGGATCTTCTGCAAGGTAGCACCATCACCATGGGCTTTTTCTGAGGAGGATGTGTGGCTTCCCTTCTGGGGTCAGTTTGTGTGTGGCTACAGTCTGGGTCCCCAGCAATGTCCCCTCTGCCATCTCCGCTCTGTTCAGACCCATCTCAGGCCTCAGACTGTTTGTACCAGAGGATGCTTGTTGCTTTCTGACACTGAGGGAGGGCAAACTGCAGGAGCTTAATCGCAGGGTTCACTGTGCAGGGGCACACCGCACTTGGGGCTAGCAAGGAAGGTCTCTTCTTCCTTGATAACTTTCCTTCACCCCCAAACTGAAATGCTGTGAAACTTCTCGACACTCTTAGATCAAAGGGAAATCGGTGCCGAGCTGCTGTCTGCTACTATGCAAATTAGACTTTATATCATGGCTTTTTTTCTGAGCTTGCTTTCCCATGAACCCCAAAAGATCTGTACAGCAACACACTGGCAGTGCACGTTAACTAGCAACCAACAGCAACATAGTGGAACAATACCGTTTTCGTTACAGCTCACAGAATTTGCATTGGATTAAAATAGCTTAGATTTTTTCACTAGCATTGTCTTCAATTCCTTTTCTCCCACCCCCTGCTTTCTGCCACAGGCAAAAAAAAAAAACAACCAAAAACGAGGGCTGAATGCTGACTAAACCAATTGGACTGAGAAACCCAGGGTTTTTAATCTTGAGCTTGCAAGCCAGGGGGAAGGGGGTGTGGGGTGGCTCTCAGGGCAAATAAAATCCATTGCAAGGTTTTCATTCTGACTGAGCTAGCACAGGCTGCCTGATAAGAAGCTGATACTGAGCTGTGCTGTGGGAAAGCCTCTGGTCAAAGCCACTTGGATGCTCCTTGGTGTAACAAAATGGGGAAAATTCAGAGAAACATGAAGGAGTAGGAGATAGCAAAGAAAAGGCGAAGAAAACAGATGAGATGCCAGTGGCATTAGTGAGATCAGCAGTAAATCCAAGAAGACATATGAAATCAGAAATAATTTTATGGTTGGGGCTAATTTTTACAGCATTGTAACAAGCACAATAACTTGCTGTAATTTTTACAGTCACGGGAAACATATTTCATTTTCTAATTAAAAATGAATGTTTTTTCAGATCACAGGAGGCTTTTCTAGTAGAGAAAACATTCCAGACCAGCATATTTATCTACTACTTCTGCTTGGAAATGTTCTTTCTTCCAATATTTAGTGTTTATTTAGAAATAGCTGAGCTGCAGGGTGGGGAGGAAAGACGGGAAGGGGTGAAGGGGACTTCCCAGCTGGTCAAGCCACTATTGCACCATGGAGCACATGCCAGCCTTGATGACAGTAATAGAAAGTGGTGGTGGTGGTGAATTGCTGCTCCCCTTACCCCTCCAGACATATTTATACTTGCTTGAATGCAGGTATAATTTGAAGCCAAAATCTCCTTAGTTCTACGCTCTGCAGAGATTTTCACTCTTGGTAATGCTTCAGGGAAGTCCCTACACCTGTGTGTCTCAACTTCTTAATACGTAAGAGTAGTGTTTATAGTTGCTGAAGTTCGTGAACTAATGCCTTGCAAACTCTTTGAAGGTACAGTTTTGCAAACCAGCTGATTTTCACTTGTATGATCCGATGCGTAATTGCAGCCTATCCCCTTTCCACCTTGGGTGGAAGTTTCAGAAACGTAAGTGAACTAGCAGCTGCAGGCTGATTTTGAAAGGGTCAAGGCCTCCTGGAAAGCCTGTGGACTTGCAGCTGGACTGAAGCTGTGCTGAAAATGAGCTCTTCCAGATTGGATTAAGCTAATTCAGAAAAATGAGGTTTTATTCTGGAGCGCGGGTGTCTTCAAGGAGGTTTTGATGCAAGTATATCAGGTTAATTATTGTTAATTAGCTATTCGCCTAACTGTCCAAAGGAAATGAGCCCTAAGACACTTAGTCCCTTTTGAAAATGAAAATGCCTTTAACTACGTGGTACTCACAGGGTGTGATTATTCACACAGCATTTGTTTTGCTCCTGGACTTCACCTGGAGATCTGGAAAGGGGAGAGTTTGCAAACAGTGAATAAAAACCACTGTGATATGTTCACTTATGCTGTTTGCGTGCGAAGGTAGTGACTGCTTTAGAGAACCAAAATACCCTGCCTGCTGTGCATGAATGAAAACATGGGCTGCTCCACCTGCTATGCCAGGAAACACCGAGCTGGGAGGGCCGTGGCCGTGGTCAAAGCCAGCAGGGTGTCAGAATTCAGACTTGTGAGCCCAGCTCTGCAGTTGTTCCTCAACTCTGTGGACAAACTGATTCTGACCTGGCA